TGTGTCTATGATGTGTGTATGTACCCCACATAGGCTTACTGTATGCATGTGTGTGGGTTGGTTAATTACACACAATAGCAGGTTCCCTGTGATCAGCCTTTAAACACAGGAGATCAGACTGCATAGGGTTAATCTGTGACTAAAGTCCAAATATCACATTAACCTAGTTCAGAACACACACACACACACAGCTGTTCACAGGCATCTGCCATTATTGCAGTGATTATCGATGTACCCTACTTCCACCTGACTCACGATGACTGGTAGGCTGGTAGTTGCTTTCCCAAACTAACCCCCTTCAGATTCACGTGTGTCATACAGGTGTGCCGTGGCTGACACACAGCAGGTCTGGATTTACCTCGTTAATCTAAACAGAGTGGGAGAATTTCACAGCGCAAATGAAGGCTGAAAGCTTTTTCCTATGATCACTTACCGAGCAGCGCGCAGGCGAGCAGGAGCGCACCGGTTGCCATTGTGTGTGTGTGTGTGTGTGTGTGTGTTGCCCCGCAGATTCACTTCCAATATTCCCTTTAGATGAGGAGGTGATGATGATGATGATGTCTGGTCGGGTTTTGACAATGTGATTAAACCGCTGGTCCTGGATCAGAAAGCAGGAGATGGAGAGAAAAAAAAAAGACAAAAAGGAGGAGGTCTACGAATCCCGAGCGACAAAAGCGGCCGGGGTTTGGAGTCAAATCCACAACCGGTGAGTCCGGCGGTGTCCGACTCACCTCTCCGGTGTCCTCCTGCTTGTGGTGGCGGAGGGGGGAGGGAAAAAATAAAAAAAACAGAGCTTCGGGTGTCTCTCCCCCTCGCTTTCACCCTCACCTATCTGCTTTTATCGCTGACGACGTGCGCTTATGTGCCAGGCGCCTGGGCGACCCAACCCACTCTCCGTTTACTACGCATCCGAGACTGCGGAGGCGATTCAACACTCACAGCCTCCTCGGGAAAAAAGACACACACACAATAAAAAAAAGTCCAGCGTGACTTGCGCTTATTTTGTAAAACCTGCTTTAGAGACAGGACACTAAATGAATCCAGGCGACCTGGGAGCGCTGGTGCTATAGAGTCTGAAATTAAGTCTTTGCTATGGTTTTTCTCCTCCCCGTCACTGATGTGGGAGAGCAAATCCGCGGTCCAAGCAGGCTCTGGCTCTCTCTCTCTCCACGGAAATCCCGGAGACTCTAATCAATCTCCCACTATCGCTCCGCAGAAAGCCCAATGGGCGGGCGCTCTAGATGAGGCAGACAAGGCTTTGTGCTCTGACACAATACATCAGATTAATCAATGAACACTTTCACTTCCAAAAAAAGCACATCGCTCTCTCTCTGTCTCTCTCTGTCTCTCTCTCTCTCTCTCTCTTTCTCTATTGTAGCACCAATGCACCTGAGCCAGTGTGTCCTCTTTCCAAAATGCGCCTAGATGTCTACAAAAAGATACTTTAGTTAAAAACACCTCTGCTTAATTCTAATGTGTGTGACAACGCTTTGTGATCCGGTCCGGGAGAAACAGTCCGCCACCGCCGCTCTTCCAAGGTTATTTCCCTGTTTCCCGACTTCCTGCTCGCCACTTTGTGTTTGCCTGGCAGTTTTGAAAACTTAGCAGCGTGCTGCCTGTCTGCCCCCACCCACCCCCGTATTAGACCACGCCCCGGCAGCCTGGGGGCCGTGGGACACCAGCGTCTACAGTGGGTGAGGCCGCATTTGCATGTGTGAATTTTAAATTCTAGGGCCCAGGACGTTGATGGTTTGAATAGGTTAAGCGGAGTGGAGGGTAATTAAGCGTCTAAAGCTAGCAATTTTCTCAGCTTTTTATTTATTTTTTTAATTTTTTTGCAGGGTTGAGTTTAACCACCTTCTTGAGGCTGACACCACTCACATTATACTGCATATTAAGTGTATAATGATAGGGTCTTTCAAAGGAAAAAGAAATAAACCCTGTTTTTAATACTAGACTGTTCATTTATGGTGTTTATTTGTCTCATGATCACAAAAGTCACCTTGTCATGCATAATTCACCCAGCAGTCTCTGTGTTATTGACACACCCCCACACACACAGACACACCACCATCCATACACACAACTGGCAAGCAATCAACATAATGAGGTGTCACTCTGCTTGGGAACTGTAGGAAATATCATAACAAACACTTTTTTTTCTCCGGCACATCATCTGTCAAAGGTTGCAAGTTGCAAATTCCACCCCTCTTTGATTCAGATTATAAGTAGCTAAACCAAACATTACTTTGACATATGCTCAAATTTATTTATTTGCAGGACTCTGCTGCCGCAATATGAGGAGGATCTCAAAATAGACAGGGTGAATGGGAGTTTGCAGGGAAACATAAAATAGCACAATGAGATAATACTTCTTTGGTGTGAAGCTGTGAAGTTGCATTTCTATCTGGAAGGGACAGAGATATAGAATCCAAAAAACTCTAACTTAGTGAAACCCAAAGCTTCCTCCTGTGTAATACATAAATAAATGAGCAGGTCTTTGCATACAAAAAGTAATTGCAATGGGCCCATCTGGTATTCTCTTTATCAACTGGGAATTTCACACTGTCTGAATGCAACATGAATAAAATTTTTTGGAAGCAGTAAAAATGATTCTTCTCCTTCTGCTGCGCTCATGGATTTCAGCTCAGATAAAACTTTCTGAGCAACCGGTGAAATGGGTCTGTGCCCCGAGGCACCGAGAGAAATGTTTACAGAATACAGTATGTTAACCTCACATCTGAATAACAGTTTAACCAAACAATTTAATGAAAAAATAGAATCTTTTTGTCCCTCCTTCTGTCTAAAACTATGTCATGGTATTAACAGAAAAGAGAGACAGCTTTTAGAATGTTTATATAGAGAAAACAAAGGCTTTAGCAGACATTGCTGCCAACAAGAAGTAAGCCAGAATGGGATTAGACACTGGTATGAACATGTGGGCTATTGGTTCAGCTTCTCCAAAGGTCTATCCAGGTCCAACGCAGCTGAATTAATATACAGCTAAACAGAGCCGGCTAGGTAGGCCATGTGCATTACACCTGGTCTACATATTGCAGCACCTAAATTTAGCTCAGTTCTCCACAGACTCCTCATTGCATAGACAAGAGATGGCACAGTTTGCACAGGCACAGGCAGCTAGAAGGCAGCTGTAATGTCGTTTGAGCCCAGCATCGTGTTAGCGCCGAAGATGAGATCACCTTTGACCCCTCACACCAGTTTTGGCGACTATCAAATATGTTTGCTTAGAGAGAAAAAAAAGCCTTCAGAAGAATGTTTGCAAGTATATAGGGTGCTGGGGATCACAATAGGTCTCCATGGAAACAGAGGAGTCTGCATTGTGTGCACTTCATAAGAGGGTCCATCACCTAGATAAAGTCTTGATAGCCACAGCCTTTTTTGTCTGTGTCTTGCGTAATTGTTCAGCACTGTTTGAGATTCGTACAGGCTCACTTTTATATGTTAATATTTCCGTACCCTTACAGCACTATGAGCTGGTGTCAGCAAGGTTAGATAGGAAAGCTCTGAGAGGCTCGCTGAGGAGAAAGAGAGAGATTTGTTCACTTATTTCATCATACACACATTTTCATCGTACATCCCAAAAGTATATGAATGATTTATTGGATTTCTCTGTGCATTTTTATCTAGTCTCACATGAATATGTCAGTTTTACACAGAGGATTGTGTAGAGGCAAATCACATGCAAACACATACACGTTCAGATGCATACTGCATAGAGATGTGTCACTTCAAATTACAGAGAGATGTTCCTCATTGTGACACTAAACGTACATGTGAAAACATATGTAGCCTTCCACACAAACATGGAAACACATGTTAATACACTCTGATGAATCCCAATTTTAAGCTGGGGATACAATGAGTCATGTTTACATTAATGATTTCTGAATAAAAAAAACATAAATAAATAAACAAAAGCTCTTTGTTCTGATGGAGTCAAAAAGAAATAAAAAACTTTTGAAACTATCCAAGAAGCTTCCCTAAGAGGACTGAGAGGGAGGGGGAAATAATCCAGATGGGAGAAAACAGAGGAACAGAGAAAGTGTAACATTTAATTGTCAAAAGTTATTTTGCAATATGTGGTTCATTTGAATTAAACATGAGTACAAGAGGGGTTATGAGGTAAAGCGGATTAGACATTGCATATTATGGAGAAAACAACTATTGTGCAAACCACTTTGTAACCCATAAACAAATATGGATAGACTCTCAATCAAAACTAACAGTAGTCTCCTAATCCATACACATGTGGCAGGTTATTAAGCTCTGATCTTACACAGCTTCTGTGAGCACAGCGTATAGTTACAGGTACCAAATTGACATATTGTATATAGGTTTTGACAGTAAGCAGACTGACAGACAGCAGGCAGAAGGCAACACTCCAGCTGGGACCAACTAGACTCAAGAATGCCACTCTTCTATCTAGGATTTAATGTGAGCTGAGTCACTACACACAGTCGAAGTAATACAGTCCAATTTCTCACGCCACACTTCACATTGACTCGGGAGTTTACACTCTGCATTGTCAGATAACCTTTGATTATCTACAGCTGAGGCTGGTGCAGTCAAATATGTAATTTTGCCTTTATGTTATAAACCAAGTCTCATGTGCAGGCTGTTTTTTTAAAAGCTCAGTTATGCAAACTTAAGGTTGCACACAACAAACTTGTTATATACATTCATTGCCCCTGTCACAGGGCTTTATTTTACATTGCATTAGCCTGCCAGGACCACAAATCTCTACATTTTCTAGCTGATTAATTATTCATCACTGGGCCTCTTAATGTAGATTATTAATATGAAATGACTGTCAAGCTACCAATTTTTCTCTTCTATCTGTCTGTGTCTCTGTTTCCATCCATCACCTCTGATAGTCGTTTTCTCTCCCTTTCTTCATTTCTGTGCTACATGCTAGTCATATCTTTTTTTTATCCTTTCTACTTGAAAGCTCTGATTGCAATGATTGCTTCATAATTATATATGCCGGTACTTAGTCTGAATGTGTGTTCATTTTTGTATGTGCATGTCATGTGTTTTTTTCAATGAATTCAAAGATTTTTTTAAGTCACTTAGCAGTAGACGTTTTTACCTGCATGTAAGTAAATGCACAGGATTTTAATAACCCACCGGTTTCCAGTAATTACTACTTGAGTGAAAGCATCCACTCTTTTCCTTGTAACTTTGCAGGTGGTTGTAACGACATTAATATATGTTTATTATGTCTCCTTTGTTTTCAAATTACAGCAGAGGTGGCGCTGCAACAAGGACCGAATGTCATGTGCAATTTTCATCATTAGCTGACAGGTGGTTGCAAGATTACTGTAGCAGAATATGACAATTAAAGGCTTTTGAATGAAGTGAACAAATACTTGTACATCTGAGTGACAATAGATCCTTTCACTCAGTCTACATAGGCTTACTATAGGTATTATTACACTGTGTTACACCAGGCATTCATATACACACTTTGTCAGCAGCAGGGCCACTGGGTCACACTGTATAACAGAACAAGTCAAGATACAATTATAACAGTTTCTGGCAGCAGTGTGGATAAAATCCCCCTGTGTCGTGAAGGACATCTGTGTACACTTGTTCTTTCGCTGCATGAGGCAGAACTAATTTTCTGGGATCTTCATTAAAAATAATTTTAGTAAGTTTCACATGCTTGTGTTGAATTTGTGTCTCCTCTTCTCTCTGTCTGTCTGTCTTTTGTCTTTCTTTCTCATCTTGATTATGTGGGTGTTGCACAACGTGCAAACACAGCTGAATGTCATACATTATTCATTTGTAGTGCATGCCGGACAAAGCAACACACACAAACATGATTGCACGCATATGCACACACGCAGAAAAGCTGTACTCTCAGGGAATAGCTCATGATGGCAAGGGCATGAAGGTGAGCTTAGATACACTGTGAAGATTGTTCGACTTTATGCCCCAAAACACCAACCACATTACACAACACACACACATTTCATCATCATCCCTCGCAGGTACAGGCTTGTCCTTTTTGCTGTTGGGTAACAACAACAAAGCAGATGCTATCTATCAACTCCAGGCTGAAAAACACAATTTGCTTTTTCATGGTCACACTTACTGAAGCTTCCGCTTTGTGTATGCAGAACAAGGTAACTCATTCTCACTACACACCCCTGTAAAACTGACATGACTCATGGCTGTAAGAGGAAGTATGTGGGCAAAAAAGGCTTTTGGAGGCACAGTTACGCCACCAGATTACTGAATCACAGCATTATCCAAGCTGGTAACAAAAGAGGGGCACTGCGTGTGGAATTGTATTAATTTTAATAAATAGATGATACGCTTAGTGCTGATGTTTACTTGTATTCACCTATTTCCTTTGCTTTTATAGTGTATGTTTCACAACGTAATTTCATTAATTTAAATAATGAGGAAAGGAATACAACACTACTGTGGTTGATTGTACAGTAAGTTCATTTTACTGAGGTAGAAGTAAAGTCCAGAGAAATTACAGGGTAGTTTTAACTGTGATTGTAGCATTTAAAGAGATTTGTGTTC